ATGACACTATGGACACGGTCCGTGTCACTAGTTAAAATTGCTTATTTCTCTGGATTTAAACATTTTTCGAAACATTTGGGTTAATGTAAGTACACAAGTCAGCAAAATATATAACACTGTTCTAGTGGTTTTTGGATATTATAATAAAAAAATATTACATATTGTGCCTTTAAATCTTATTTTGTGTTCCACATAACAAAGTCATACAACGTTGAAACGACATGGGGTAAATATTGACAGAATTTACATTTTTGGATGATCTTATGTAAATATTCCTAAACTTCAATAGTATCGAGGAGTGAATAAACCGGTTAGACTGCTAGACTAGATCAAATGTAAATATAGGCTACTTCCTTACTTTTGTGCATCTTCCTTGTAATTTTCATGGGTCCAGTTTATTTGCATACAGACGGAAAACACTTTGAGTTCTACCTTTGAAGCAGAAATCACATAATTCTTACATCAGTAGTCTTCTAAAAGGTGCTGGTCCAATATTCATTTTTCTAGTAGAGACGAATCAGTTGAGCAAAAATTATTTGCAATTTTTTTTTTATTCAAACAAGAAAGCAAAGAAAAACGCCTTCTCCGAAGTAAACATGGTCAGATATTTAGTGTTTTAACTTGAGTGCGGTCATTGGATTGTTGTCCATAATTCCACTCGTCAGCTCCATATGTAAAACAAAAGTACCAGGAACAAAAACCATCTGTAATGGTGTCGATTTTCTTTGAATTCGATGTAATAGAGCGACCGCACAGAGCCAAAGCGACGAAAAAGCTGTTGACGAAACACAACCAGATGACGTTCAGCTGCAGGTGCGCGTGCATCTCTATCTGCAGCAGCGGCGAGATGATCATCAGAACGAGAAACGAGGCCCACGTGCTGAGGAACGTATGCATGGCCCGCCTTAAACAAACCAAGCAGCTTTGTTGAGTGGAATGCAGAAACACCTGCACCCTCCATTTCTCAAACGGAGCGTACGAGTAAAGAATGACACAGGTGACCGTCAGTAACATTGCTACGAGAACCTGAGAGCTCTGAGATCTACTAAACAGCTTGCACTGGTGCTTCTCAACATCTTCTAACAACAGAACAAAATCAGGCTCCCAGAAAACGTACAAAGCTGCTAGAATCCAAAGGAGACACACTCCAGCTATGTAAGTAAGCTTTTGTTTCCAGGATGTGTGTGTTGAGCTCGATGATAGCGTCCAGAAGTTGTCTAGTCCTACAAGGAGGAACACTGGCCAGTGGAGCACGGCGTAGATAAAACAAGTAATCTGAGCCAGCAGGCATACGTGATACCTGGTGAAGTGCCAGCCTGAGATGTTGAAGTCTTCCAGATAGAAAATAGCCACGAGGCCAAAACTCAAGAGACTGTCAATCAATGCCAAGGAAATGCAGAAGAATCCTGAGAAGCTCCTGATCATGTAGTGTCGCTGCACCACGACCACCAGCCAGTTCAGCAAACTCTTGAGCCACAGAACCAGCAGAAGCGAAGGGATTGATGTTTCCATGGTACAGCATAATCCAAGGCTGAAATCAGAACAATCAACAGACCAGTCTTTCTTGTAACTGGCCAGCAGTTCCTCATTGAAACAGTTCACATCAGCTGTCAGTAGACACACCCTACTGAGGTGAAGGCCAGCCCTGCACATTAAACGAATAGCCCACTTTCAGTCAGAGTTCTTTATTATTTGTTAAGCATGTATGGGCATTATATAATTGTTTCCATGTATTTAAATGTAGATGTGGTTTCACTTTTTGTTAAGTTCATCTCATCTGTACTAATGCTGATTCAACAACACTACTCATTCAGCAACTTACATATTAAAATATTAAAACTGTATATATAGATATAAAAGCTGAAAATAAACACTAGCATAACTAGAGTTACCTGCATACCAGCAGTGCAGTATACTTGCCAGTACTTGCCTTTTCATTCAACAGTTCCTGCCAATAAAAACATGTATTAAGTGTAGTGACATGACATAAACAAATTTCATGTATGTATTTATTTGAAGGTCACATTCAAATATTTTGGAAAACCATGATTAAATTACCATGTCTGTCATTTAATTTTGCTACTTTTAAAACTTTTATTGTTTATTTTATTGCTACTTTTATTGTTTTACTTTTGCTCCAAACCCAGAATTTCAATCTTTAACTCTTTTTTTTTGTTTTTACATTTATGACTGATGATCTAAGCAAAGAGTGAAATACATATGAACAATTTCAATATTTATTATGTGAAAATGGCTTATATCCATGAAATGTAGGCTACAAAAATTACAGTTGTTGCACAATATTGCCAAAAATAAATAAAGCTACTCTAATGTAGTCATTCATTTTATGCCAAAACTCTTAAATTGTTTACGATTTTCAAGAAAAGCATGCCAAAAATGATCTTGTAATGCATATGCGCCCACTGTTGGACATTTGTTAGCAAACAAACTAGAATTAAAAAAATTGTGTTTAAGGGTTTATTACTACAAGGCCACATTGTCTCTTTGTAACATCCAGCTATAAGGTTAAAAGAGTACAGGTTTGTGCAGAAAGGAACTTGACCTTAAAAGGGTGTGTTTACGGCTAAAGCTATGGATAAATAATTGGCTGTAAAGAAAATTAAATTGGGTGTTGCTAAAACAGAGTGTTTTCCATGTTCAGAAGAGACAGGGACATGTCTGCACAAGAAGGCACATTAAGTTGGCTCCACCCTTCTTTGAGAAAGATGTGGACAAGTATTTCCTAATGGTAAAAACCATTAGATTGCTTAGAGCTTAAAAAGCAGCAGACTACAAAGACATTGGACACAATTACAGGGTGCACAAGTCTGGTTATGTTCCCTTCCTTATTAAAGGCTCTGTCTCCATCCCTGGCCAAAAAAAAAACTGATGTGCAGGCTCACATTTTAATCTTTCATCATGCAGGGTGCTGTATGGTTGTCCATTGAATGAATCTTAGTCAGGTATGAGAAGATCAGAGATTTGACAAGGTCTTTTTTAAAAATTCTTTTCACTATTTGACCTGCCGGAGGTGGTAATAAAGCTTTCAACTTTCAGAACTCAAAACAGCTTTTAAAAATGAATTTCCATTTCTTGGATTTAAGCAGCAAAAACATTTAAACACGTGATGGTGAATGTGATTTTACCAAGCAGAACATCCAATCAAATGATCAGATTTGAGTGACAAGTTTCCAGTTAATTTTATGTTTTGGCTTACAACCAAGGTTTCTTGTCCTCTTTATGGTTACAGTTATGGTTCGGGTTAAGTTTAGGGGTCAGAATATGTTTTTGGACATGAATGTTGTTCCAAGATCAACAAAAGATGTTGATCCAGGATTATGCTGGTTAGCATAGCCCAATTAGCCCTTGCTGGTACTCTAACTAAACCATAAGCACCCAAAACTCATCCTTTTTCCATCATACAAAAGTAGCTGTGACTAATTTGCAAACAAAAAACAAATGACATGTTTTACTTTTTATAAACAGCAATTTATATAAAGCAGAGCGCTAGTTTCTTTCAGAAGAACAAAGTTTGTAATGTAAGATGTGTAGGCAGACATGAGTAAAAAATGATATATAAAATTAGTATAATAGCAGCTGTTTATGCATTGGCTTTATGCATTGTTTGCAAAAGCGGAGTGTTGCTGGAAGACAGATGTGTCACATAAAAGTGAAATGACTGAAGTGCAACTGCTTTTGATATTGAACCCTGATGAAAGAATAAATCATAACAAGGTCCAAACCACACCTGTTTATTCATTTCTTATTCATACTGGAAAATTATTATCTATTTTTATGTAATTGTCCCAGTTACACACTTGCGTGACAGAAAATTTAAATAAGACAAACGAATGGCTATTTGTAATGTCTGTTTACTTAAGAAACCTTGTAGTGTACGTTAGTTATCAATAGGCCTATGTGAATCGCGGCCATAGTTATCAGTTGTGTACTTAAAATATTATCAACTGATTTTAATATCTATTCGTGATTGATTCCTTGATTATTGTTATTATTATTATTTCAGTTCAGGATGTTCATAAACGGGATTTTCAGCATGTGGAAGAGAGACTTTTATCATGACTTCGAAGAGATCATGTTAATAATAAATAATTTTATATATAAAGAGAGACCTGGATAAATGTATTAAAACCACACAAAAGGCAAAGAAAAAAAAAGTAAGGAAAATATTACGAAGGCATAATCGTAATATTTTGCGCATCAGCACTAGTGTCACGAGCGCCCTCGTGATGTCATTGTGGACATCCCATAATACTATTGAGCATAAGCCGTAAGCCTCAGTAGCCTGGAAATAGTGTTGCTGTCAAGGTAACGCGTTCAAGTGTATTAAATTTACCTCTTCAGTTGTGAAAGACTGTGAAGTCCAAAAGGGAAGTTGCGCGTTTTTTCCCTGTGATTTGGTAAGCGCTGGTGTAATGTGTTTAGCTAAATTAGCTCCGTGTGGCTAATTTAACGGAAGGTTTGGTCGATGAAAATGTTCTCGCTGATGTCTGAATAATCTAATGTGTCGTGTCGCTTAATGTGTTTAAGATTGCTGCTGCTTGTCACCACTCCAAAATCCTTGTTAGTAGCGTGATAGTTTGCATTTGTAGTAGTATAAATAAGTTTCAGATTAACAGTTCGCTGCCTTTGCTCATTGTGCAGCACGTCCTGTGGTTTACTGGTTGTTCCAGTTTAAGTAGATCATTACGAAAAACAGTAAATAAATACATAGGCGTTTGACAAATAACATGTACATGGAATTGTTTTTATTACCATCAAGGTTTTAGTTTACAGTTTAAATTTAAGTTAGTGTCTATATTTATAGTATTTATTTTTATTTTCACCCTTTTTAATAATTTTAAACCACCTTGTTTGTGTTGAATTGTTTTGCAATATGGCAAATATTTAATGTAGCGTTTAGAATCTCACAATTCTGTTAAAAATAGTTGTTCAATGGAGTTTTGTATGTCTCAATACAGAACATGTTAACTTCCCTAAAGTATTTCATGTCAGCTATTATTAGAGATGCACCGATTGCAATTTTCTTGCCCGATTCCGATTTCCGATTTTTTGGAAGTGTGACCTGCCGATTCCGATTTTCTTTTTAAGAAATATATATTGACAGCATATACGAACAAAAATCTATGCAAATTTGCTTAAAGGGGTCCTATTATGCTTTTTCACTTTTTCAACTTTAGTTAGTCTGTAATGTTGCTGTTTGAGCATGAAAAAGATCTGCAAAGTTACAAAGCTCAAAGTCCACTTCAAAAGAAGATATTTTATTTAACAGAAATCACTTTTCAAAAACTACAACGAACGACTCGCTTGGACTACAACGCATATTTTCCGGGATTTGTGATATCACAAATATCGACGAATGGGACGAGACCTGGTTGAGCTGCACTAGAGAAGGCAACAAGTGTTATCACTATGTCGGAGACACGCTAGCTTTCCCAAGGCAGATGAACTTAGAGTGCTTACAATAACCCGGGTTTAAATCACGCTCAAATTGATTTGATTTTGACGCAATATTTACACTGAAGCTATATTTACACTGAGGTAAGGGGCATGACATTTCCCGACCAGGCGCCGAGTGAAGCCAATCACAACACACACTGGCCCAGCTAACCAATCACAACACACACTGACCCAGCTAACCAATCACAACACACACTGACCCAGCTAACCAATCACAACACACACTGACCCAGCTAACCAATCACAACACACACTGACCCAGCTAACCAATCACAACACACACTGGCCCAGCTAACCAATCACAGCACACACCGGCCCAGCTAACCAATCACAGCACACACCGGCCCAGCTAACCAATCACAGCACACACTGGCCCAGCCAACCAATCACAGCACACACTGGCCCAGCTAACCAATCACAACACACACTGGCCCAGCTAACCAATCACAACACACACTGGCCCAGCTAACCAATCACAACACACACTGGCCCAGCTAACCAATCACAACACACACTGGCCCAGCTAACCAATCACAACACACACTGGCCCAGCTAACCAATCACAACACACACTGGCCCAGCTAACCAATCACAACACACACTGGCCCAGCTAACCAATCACAACACACACTGGCCCAGCTAACCAATCACAGCACATTTCGTATTTCAGAAGGCGGGCCTTCATTTGATACAGGAACTATTCGAGCCGTTCATGCCAGACTGGGGAGAGAGGTGTTGTAATAATGTAAAATATGTGAAAAATAATGTGTTTTTCGAACAACCTAGTATGAGAGCCTGTTCTAGTACACCCCCAAAACAAAATCAAGACTTTGTAAAAGAGCATAATAGGACCCCTTTAAACAACTCTCAAAATAAAGTGCTCTGTGACTGGAAAGAGGAAGAAATAGTTAACTTTAAATGAGTTGCTGTATGTAACAAAACAGATGTCATTTCCCACTATGTTTATAAATGGAAATTTTCCCCTAACCTTATTAAATGTGTCATCTTTCACATCAGATTCTTACTTTGTTTCAATTAATTCAGTTAGAATAATAAGAAACTGTAGAGTTGTTAACATTCAAATGAAATTTCAAATTAGTATTAACAAACTCTATCTTTTCACTGCAGAGGAAACAGAAGCTGCATCTGAAGTGGCATTAGATGTTTGCAATAAGTTTTGTGTCACCTACAATTTATCTATATCTGCAACAAAATGTATGTGTGTGTGTGTTTAAGCATGCTGATTGAGTATTAATATACTAGATTAATAATTTCATTTCAGTGTGTGTGTGTGTGTGTGTGTGTGTGTCTGTGAGCCTATTCTCCATATTGGATGTGTTTTACTGTCAGTCATACATCCAGGTTGGCCAACACCACCTTAAAGGCCTTAAAGTGCTTGAACCCCGGTAATTGCTGCTTGCAGCTATATATATATTTTTTTTTTTTAGTGCTTAACTTATACATGCAGACAAGAACAGGGAAATAAGACATTGTTCTATCTCTTATAAATCACTTCACTCAGCCAGTTTATATGTCAAAATGAATGAAGAAATTTGTATATTAAAGAAAAAGTTAGTGATTTAATCAACATAAATGAAGATAAAACATGCAAGTATTACAAAAGATTGGGCCCGATAACCTGAAAATGACTTGAAATGTTGGGTAATATATACCAATAAATAAAACTAATTAGTCTTTAAATATTTATTTTTTGCGCAGAAAAAAACTATTTAATTGAACAGGACACTTTCTAATGTATTGAAAAACAACAATTCAAAGCCTTATTGTTTTGATGCTTAAAAACCCTTTTTCATCTTTGACCCATATACAGCAGGGCTGCCTGGAAATATAGGTACCATTGAATTATTAACCAGGAATGTTTTCCGTGGCCCCATGATGAGGGGGCCCACTTAGGTCTTCTCAACTCATTTACATTATTTGGTTATCTTATAATGATGTATAATTTTTTTTGTCCCCCATAAGAATTGAAGGCATGGAAGACGAGCCGCCCTCCAGAAAGGCGGAGGAGGGTAGTTTATCTAAGCGGTCACAGAGGCAGCAGGAGCGGCAGGGGAAACTTCCAAGGAGACGCAAAGAAGTGAAGAGGTCTCTTCGGAGGCCAGACTGTCCAGAACACCTGTTGGGGGGAAGCGTACATTGGTTGCCTGAGCATCCCGGATCAGAAGCTTCTGCATCAGTGGAGGACACTGCTGAGAGCTGCCCAAAAAGATGGGATAGATGCAGGTACAAAACACACCATTTGGTTTAACTTGAGTGCGGTCATTGGATTGTTGTCTATAATGAACCCTAAAATAAAAATGTGCAGTGATTTAAGTGCCTGTTTGTTGCAGACGAGGGCACTTTCTACATGGACCATATCCTGCTACTCACTTTGGACCCAAAGCTTGTGTTCTTCCCAACCCAACCTCAGTCATGTAAGTAAGCAAAGTCAGGTTCACTTTTGGTAAGGAGCTAGGTCACATCCGTCTCTTGTTACTGTTTAAACTTTAAGTCAAGCAAAGGATTACACAAGTGTGGCGATAAGGCTGTGTGTGCTGAGTTCTGATTGGTTGAGGGTGGCTTGTTGGATGAAGCTAGAGAGCAGCGCAGTCCGGCACCGCTGTTGCTGTCACAAGAGTGGTCCTGCTGGAACCTTCTAAAAAAAAAGCCCCCCAGCACTATGCCTGTTTTACGCCCCCCCAGGACAAACCACACGCAGAGGGTAATGTGGGGTTTATGGTTTGATATCTGATGTTGTGCTTAACATGCTGTTTAGATGGAATGAGATATGTTAGTTATTTCATTTTCTGTATGTTTCAGATCAAGAAAGATGATTAGAGTGAGTCTCTAAAAAAGACTTTTTCTGGATTTCATGCAACGATAAAATTTAGAAACTTAGTGGAGTTATAGAAAAACCTAGCTGTTGGACTTATTCCAACAGCTAGTTATTCCAGTTATTCCTTGGTACAATAAATAAGATGTGTATATAAATATTTACATTTTTGAAGTTAAAAAACAAACTGTGAATGTGTCAAACGACAGCTATTTTTTAATTAATTTATTAATACTGAAAACGATCTGATCCTAGAACTATGAGAAACCAAAAGCAGAAGTCCACATCACAGTGCTTTCCAACATTTGATCATGACTTGTGTTGCGTAACGAGTGTAGAAACAGAACAAAGTACATGCCGTTTTGCTTTGCTCCGAGTGCATTGCCGACACATACCATGTTTGCCTACTCTGTCGACTTTCCCCGCAGGCACATTCAGGATCCAGCCAGCCAGCGGCTTACCTGGAGCAAACCACCGCTCAACGTCCTGGTCATCAGAAAGATCCGAGATGAGACCCTTCTGGAGCCGTTCAAAGAGCTTTGCAGGTTCCTCGTGGAGGTAGGTTACACAAAAGCAACATTAGTAGTTGATTTACAAGCTAGGAAGTTACAGGCGCCCTTTCATTTTCATTGTTTTCATTGTTACCCTTTCATTTTTTTTCACTGTATCATTAGTTTTTTTTTTTAGATTTGGTTACACAAAACTTACACAATTATTTCCACCATCAGGAGAAACATCTGATGGTTTATGTGGAGAAGAAAGTTGTGGACGATGGCTCTCTCATGAGGGATGACTCATTTTCAGCCTTTCGCAATCAGCTGTGCACATTCAGGGAAGGTACTGAAACCTCACTGTGTTATCGGCAGGTTCACCTGTAACATGATTTACATAACCTTGACACACCATTAACCAATGAAGGATTGGGTGCATTAGGAAAATTAGTGATTTATCATTGTGTTCACACAGGGTTTGATGACATCTCGGACTGCATCGATCTGATTATTTGTTTGGGTGGAGATGGGACTCTTCTGTATGCATCATCTCTTTTCCAGGTATTCTCTCATCTCATCTTATCTCATTTGTTTGTGCACAAGAGTCTCCTACTAGGTCAGTCTCATCTGCTTTCCATTGGGTGTTCTCTGTGTGCATCATAATTTGAGAGAATTTGGATATGCAAAAGTGAGTTGTTTAGAGATTTATTTAAGAATGAAATGTGGTTTTGTCTTATTTGTTTAAGGGCAGCGTTCCCCCGGTCATGGCCTTCCATCTGGGCTCCTTAGGATTTCTCACACCATTCAAGTTTGAGTCTTTTAGAACAGAGGTGGATAAAGTGTTTGAAGGTAGAGTGATTGAGAGTTGTTTTTTTTTTCATCTCTGAAACCAGAAGAACTGTAGTTGTTGTGCTTTAGATGTTTATGTTGTTTTATATATTTGTGTCTGGCTCCTGTAGGTAATGCTGCCATCATCCTGCGCAGTCGTCTGAAGGTTAAGGTGGTGAAGGGCACGTTCCAGAGGAACGAGCAGCTCCTCAGTGCTCAGGAGAACGGAATATTGCCTCATAACCACATAAACAATGAGGCAGGCAAAATCACACTACAGTTACAGGTAATGCAGCACTCACAAAGTATTTGTTGAACACAAAACCAGTGACATTTGTGAAATGGAGAAATCAAAGAATCAAAATACTGGGCTTGAGACAAAGTCTGTCTTTGTTTGCCAACACGTTTTGGCACACAGGCCTAACAAATTCTAAGCAAACACAAACACTGAAAAAAATTAAACTTGCAATCCACCAATAAGGACGTTGGACAAATCTGATGGTGTGGCGTCAACCAATCACATGACATTCTAAGGGAGAGCCCATAAAATAAGCTTATGGCCTCTTTTGATCAAAAGTGACAGTAAATGTATAGATTTACAGTATTACAAAAGATTTCTGTATCAAACAAATGCTATGCTTTTGAGCTTTCTATTCATCCAAGAATCCTGAAAAAAAATTTGAAAATGAAATCCTTAATTTAAAAGAATTAGAATGATTTCTGAAGGAATGTGTGACATTGAGGACTGGAGTAATGGCTGCTGAATGAAAATTCAACTTTTCCATCATAAGAATTAATTATCTTTTAAAATATATTAAATTAGAAACAGAATTTTAAATTGTAATAACAGTTTACAATATTACTGTCTTTACTGATCACGTAAACACAGCCTTGGTTGAACATAAGAAACTTCTTTCAAAAACAATGTGTAAAAAATCTTACTGACCCCAAACCTTTGAACGGTTGAGCACATGTTCATACAGACATATACATATACATGAATGTACATATTGTTTACAATGAGTATATCATTTATTAGCTTAAAAAATTTACAAAATGTATTTTATAAAACGGATTGTTCCAGTCCTTAATTCTGATTGGTTGAGCCACATTCAAAGCTGTTGTAAATTACTCTACAAACATACACCTTTGTTTACGTCTGTGTGTTGCTTGGAAACCACTTTGTTGCAACCACAACCGTTTCTGAGGAGGAACAACATTGTTTGCCGGAAGAATAATGTTTTTATTAATATCATTACATTTTATTTGCTTTGTTTTATTTTGTGAAACCTTGCTACATATATGGAATAACCGGTTTATAAAAGCAATAAGCACCGTGAAGCCGTGGTTTACAGTGAATTTATAACAGCTAAGGGGGTTTTCTAACATCGCCCCTTAGCTGTTATAAATTCACTGTAAACCACGGCTTCTTGGGGCTTATTGCTTTATTAGAATTCAGCACTCTCATATACATTACAGTAATAACAAAATTATGTTAGGATTGAGGAGACATGAAGAAAACTAATGTAATAGATGCGAGATATTAAAATGTTGCACAAGAAAAATGCCTGAATGTCTGCCAAGTAAGGGCACTCTCAGAATATTATTTCAGGGAAAAAATCCATCAAGACTATTTGGAGACCTTTTCCATGGTAACAGACATAATGGAGTTATTTGAAAATAACAACTGTGATAGGTCTGCATGTCCAGTTGTCATAGCAATAACATAATGTCATTGACAGTCTGCGCTTTTACGTGCGAGATATTTTAGACCAGAGTGGCATGTGATAAATACAGAAATGTTTTCTTCTGGTTCTGTTTGTTGGATGCTTTTATGTGTAATTCTGTGATATGGATATTATGTGTGTGTATAAAGGTGCTAAATGAGGTGGTGGTGGACAGAGGGCCTTCATCCTACCTGTCTAACGTCGACCTTTACTTGGATGGACGCCTCATCACATCTGTACAGGGAGATGGTGAGCGCAATCATACGCTTCAGCTACAAACAGCACTGATAGATCCCTTTTTATCTTGTCACCATTGTGCAAGCCACTTAAAAGGGGTCTGGTTACGGGTTTTTCAGAATGTAATTAGTACTTTTAATCAGCAAGGACGCTTTAAATTGCTGAAAAGTGACAGTAAAAACATCTATAATGTTACAAAAGATTTCCATTTGACATGAAATGCTGTTCTTTTTAACTTTCTATTCATCACGGAGTCCTGACAAGAAGTATGACCGTTTCCACCACAGAAATATTAAAGGGATAGTTCACCCTTCACCCATGGGAAAATGAAAATTCTGTCATTAATTACTCACCCTCATATCGTTCCAAACCCGTAAGACATTATTTCATCTTCAGAACACAAATGAAGATATTTTTGATTAAATCCGAGAGCTCTGACCCTGCATAGGTTATAAAATAGTCCATGTGACATCAGTGGTTCAATCGTAATTTTACGAAGCTATTATGGAGAGTATCACGACGCATGCACATTACTTTCCTCTGCACGTAAACAAGACTCAGTGCATGCGTGTTCTACAGTATGTCAGCAGCATCACATGCATGCGTTGTTTACATGCAGAGGTACTCTCAATAATGGTGGAAAACGTGATTTGGAGAAGAACTGTTGAATAAAGTCGTTATTTTTGTTTTCTTTGCGCACAAAAAGAAGCAGCTTTGTAAAAATTACGGTTGAACCACTGATTTCACATGGACTATTTTAATGACGTCCTTACTATGTTTCTGGGTCTGGGAACATTTGAGTTCGATTTCTCTCCATGCAGGGTCAGAAAGCTCACGGATTGAATAAAAAAATATTTTAATTTGTGTTCCGAAGATGAATGAAGGTCTTACGGGTTTGGAACGACACGAGGGTGAGTAATTAATGACAGAATGTTTATTTTTTGGGTGAACTATCCCTTTAAGCAGCACAATTGTTTTCAACATTGATGATAATAATAAGAAATGTTTCTTGAGCATCAAATCTGCATATTGGAATGATTTCTGAAGGATCATGGGACAAGAGTAATGGCTGATAAAAACTCAGTTTGCTATGACAGGAATAAATTAAATTTTAAAATCTATATAGATATCAAATTGAAATCAGTTACAAGTAATAATGTTTCACTGTATTTACTGTATATCAAATAAATACAGCCTTGTTGAGCCTAAGAGACATCGAAAGCATTAAAACATCTTATCGACATTCGACAACAGACTTTTTAATGATAGCTTGGCTTTGATTTTTATTTTTAAAATGATTAACATTTTAGATTGGCTTCATTATCTGAGTGCTTGATCTTTTTTTTTTTCCTAATAGCTCTAGCAGATGCATCAATACATTATGGTCTTTTCATCTGCTTTGGCAAGAGAGTCCAGCTGCCATGAAAATAAATGCAAATATGTGGCGTGTTTCTATGCAGGTGTAATAGTTTCCACCCCCACAGGCAGCACAGCCTATGCTGCCGCAGCGGGAGCTTCCATGATCCACCCTAATGTCCCTGCCATCATGGTCACCCCCATCTGCCCTCACTCCCTCTCTTTTAGACCCATCGTGGTGCCCGCAGGAGTGGAGCTCATGGTGAGAACGGGACTGAGGTTTTTCCATTTCTGTGATGAAACTGCATCTGCCAAATGATATAGTTATTTGTTAAACTTAGGTTTTATTTATTTATTTCCTTCAAATGAGAGCTTCAGAAGAACATTTGTTTGCGCTAACTGTATTTACCCTGCAGATAACGCTGTCGCCTGATGCTCGCAACACAGCCTGGGTCTCGTTTGACGGCAGAAAGAGGCAGGAAATCCAGCATGGGGACAGGTGACACTCTTTTTGCACAATCCCATAAGCAAACAGTTTTGACCTCTCCCATAATCCAGTGCTACAACAATAGCTGTATTACGGTTATGGAAATGAGCATCAACAGTTTCAATAGGGCGCTCAACCTTTTAGTTCAAATTCAGTTTGCCCTTTTTTCTCAAGCTGCACTCTCAACCACACTTGCCGCATCTGTTAATCATGAGTTCTTTTTTTCCATTATAGCATTAAGATCACAACCTCTTGCTTTCCGGTCCCTTCCATCTGTTGTCATGATCTGGTGTACGACTGGTTTGACAGTCTGGCTCAGTGTCTCCACTGGAACGTCCGCAAGAAGCAAACACGTCTAACGGATGCCAGCGACTCTTCAGAAACGGAGAACTGAAACATCACCACAAAACTCTCTGTTGACTTTACATTCCATCCTGACTCACTGAAAAGGGGGTTAGAGTTCAAAATTCTTATTTTTACATTGCACATTTCTATGTTCATAGATTTACAGATTTCATTATAAATCGCAATAAGTGCTCGTGTGCTACCTGAGAAATAACACATTTATTGTTAGAGGTTAGCCTGGATTACTTGCAATTTAACGGCAACAAAACGTTTGCTTAACATAAAATGTCATAGTGCGACTGCTAAACATCGTTATGCAGACAGTATTTCTTAGAGAATTGTTTTTGCAGCTGACCGCTTCACAACATGCTAAATAACTGATCTGATTTATTATAGTATATTTTGTATGTTTTTTTTTATTACAATACCATTTATTAAGAATTATTTAAAAATCCACTAACATTTAAATTTGTACTGTAGGTTATGTAGATTCATCCACTTCTAAATAGTTTAGGTAACATTAATTACAAATCATCCACCACATATTTGAACTTGAAATGCACATTATAGCAGGAAATGTGTTGCAAGTCATTTACTGAGCATAAAATGTTCATTTTGAGTTTTTTTTTTTTTTTTGTGTGTGTGTTTAACTCTGTAGCTGTTAGCTAAATTGACCACAAACTCCTCACCTACAAACAGACAAAGCTTGGTTTTCTGTGTGGTTTCTTATTTGTAATAAACTGTATGAGAAGCCATGCTTTGTCAGTTTAACATGTTGGCAATCAGTTTTGTGTGCTCTACTAGACACCATTGTACATTCAACTACTAAGATTGAATGCAGTTTATCAGTCTTTTTCCTGTAGCTCAAGCTTTTGTTTGATTTTCATTCTAATTGATTAACCTGTGCAGAGCCTTTCTGAATATGAATCAAATAACTAATGTTTTGTCAGGTTAGGTGGCTGTCAAACCCAAGTAGTTCTTGTCAAAGAATATTGTAGCCTCCCTGTGGCGGCACAGGATGTTGCATTTTCAAATCCTTATTTCTAAAGCCATTATCTGTTTTGTTTAGTTGAATATTTAAAAGACTCTAAGCTGTGATATTTTTATTTACAGATGCATTGTATGTTTTGCATTTCTCATGAAATATTTCTGGCAGTGCAAGGTCATATCATGTCATTGCATAAGAACTTAGTATAGCTGAATGTATGTTAGCTGTTTACGGTTTGATGTAAATAAGAGATCCTATGATGTGTGTTTGTCTCATTTGTAATATTTCAATAAAAGTTTCTTTTCTTTTGTTTTTGTCATTTGAAATGTATCCTTATGTATTTTAGGGCTTTATAACCTGTTGTATTTACCAATGCAACAATGTTTGCAGAACAATGGAAAATAAATTGTATTATAAAAAAAAAAACCCTAATGAATAAATTGCTTGTGAAATATTTTATAAAAACGGAAAGCATCAATTTTGTGTTGTTTTTCAACAAAACAATGCAAATTGCTTGTGTTCTATATTTTTATTGCAATGAAAGGATACAGATCTAGTATCTGACAGACACTTAAATTATTCTCCAGATATTGCAAAAACGCAGTCCTCAACATTGATCCAAATACGGACAATTAGTTAGTTGAAGATGCGGACCACGTAAAAAAATTATGGGATTTCAGTTAATTTTTTATAAATGACGTAACACTACATTTTATGACAGACAGCCAATGGCAAATTAAATTTCCTGCCAATTAAAAAAAAATCATCTGGCATATCAGCATCTTTATCTCAAAGACATTGGGACAGAAAACCAAGGTGAGTGAAGTTCCATAGAAAGAAAATACAGATATAGATACACACATGGTGTCATGCCCAGTCTATCCAGGTCTTCAAAGTCAATGACAAAGAATAGTGAGGACATACATAGTATTTCTACAGGAACACTAAGTGTGACCAACAAGATCATCTACTTACAGACATGGTTAAAGATTCTTAGCATTTGAAGAAGAAAGAGAGATGTTCACTCGGGCACGAGGGGTTTCCCTGCTCCTTGTGAACTTGAATTTTGAGGGATGCTTTAACAAGGGTTCTCAGTTTTTTAATATAGAAAAACCACCTTTGCAGCCTCTTGTGCGCATTTGATAACCACTAGAGTCAAAGCATTGCAGATGAACAGATGTTTTCAGTCTCGAATACATTGTCCAAAACCAATCTTTCCATCATCGAAAACATTTACTGGTGGTTTTAGTATTTGTAGAAAATGCAGTAAAATGAAAACCTGCGTGTCTGACATTATAAAATAGAGTACAGTTCCTGTTGAACCTGAACTGCTGGCATGAACATCTCTGGTAGATTTATACAATCCATATATAAATGATACATTTGTATTTCATCTCTTAAATATCATCCTCAGCATGACTCAAAAAAAAAACAAACAGCTAATGTAAAATAATACTCTAGCCAATAGTATGCAACCCTACAGAAGGATAGTATTGGACCTCGGCCCTATTAAAACGCGAACTAACTAACTAACAGGCTATTTTGGACCACAGCCCCACGGGGAAGTACGATTTGTCAACCTCAGCGTTTGAAGACCAGATGAGAAAACCAGAGGCTATGATGCATGGATGCGAGCTACGGCATGACATGTTTGAACTATTTCTCTGGAAGTTGGTCAGAATTTGAATGTATATGAAAAAAGCATCAATATCCCGCATCATTTGGCACAAATGTGGATGTCGTTTCCCCTTGTGAACGCAGTCGACCTCGTGAGACTCAAATGGAGTTTGGTTTTAAATAACTTGCCTACTTCAATCAAGGATACTGTTCGGATTTATTAACTTGTCCGTTTCCGTTAACAAGGACTATTTCTCATCAGGGTCACAAAAGGTGATTGCAGAAATGTATGAGGCAGACCGTGTCACAAGTCCACAAAAATACAGCTCTCGTTTCAAACCAAGCAAGATCTCCCAGATTTCCACACAGAAATGTCACAGGCCAAGTGCCATTGAGATTTATGATAGAAAGTAACACTTATTAGGTATCTAAGACAAAATATATTGGTCCGTCCAAATTATCCAACGGTACAAAAGAAAAGAAACGAAAAAAAACTTCCAGATTTGAATTTCTCTCACTAGATTGGACAGCGAACCTTTATACGTGGGTGAAACTGAAAAACCATTGTGAAAGTTCACCAATCCACTACTGACGTGTTTATACAGCAAAATACTTAGATAAAGCAAAGATGAAAGAAAAACACGGGGTCAGGGAGACTTGCGGTTCTTGCATCCATAGTGGGGGAAGCATTTTCAGTGGAACCAAACAGCCTTTGCGATATTTTCCATTGTCATCATAGCCGTTTCCTGCTCTCGTTTAATCTTTAAGTCTGTCTGTTTGCACAGAGGAAGATCTCAGCCTGAACAGAAATGGGAAACATCTTCCGAACATGACAGAAGTACGTCAGCAGGTCTACATGGAGCATGGGAGTATGTGTGCGGCGTGAGGAAAATGTTTATGTCTGAACAGTCAAGGGCTTAGTCTCACTGTGCTCTTTCTCGTCTTCTTCCTCCTCTTCCTCTGTATGCTGCTCCAGCTCTTCTCTGGTGATCATTTCAAAGTCGTTGCCGTTGCTGTGCTGCGACCCTTCATCCTCCCGTCTGTCACTGTCCGTGTCCGACTGACGTTCTGCGCCCGCTTCCTCGCTCGCCTCCATTTCTTTATTGCCGTCTTCATCCTCTTCCTCATCGTCGTCTTTCTTCTCGCTGTCTGATTTGTCCTCGCTATCTGATTTCTGCGCTTTGCTTGAATCCTTGTCAGATTTCTCGCTGCTGGATTTCTTGGAGCTGGAGCGCGGACCCTTGTATTCGTGCGTGTAGAGGGGGCGGAAAGAGTCGATGAAGCCCACGTCGGCTGTCAAGTTGGGTAGGAACCAGAAGTGATGACGGCCGCCGGTCACTAGCCAGATGATCAGGAACAGGATGCAACGAGCTGAACCAAAGGGGAAACCAGAAATAAGATGAGAAAAGACAGAAGATGCGGTGTCATTGGACTGTAATGTGAAATATTGGTATAATACAAGATCGAAAAGTCTAGAGCTCATACCGACGGCCAGGAGAAGTATGCTGGCAACGAAGCATCCTGCTGCCACGCTCAGGTAATACACACCAACTCTCATCTCAGCGGGCCACAGCGGGAACAGAGTGGCTGCGATGACGGCAATGACTGCAAACACACACAGCTCTGAATCAGCACTGGAGCCAGAGAAACGACAGTCAGGCTAAACTGGAGAAAAAAAAATCCCACCTAGAATCAAGCCCATGGCAAAGGTTTTAAAGTGGACTGGATCGTAAATCCAAAAATAAACCTGTAGGGAAGAAAAATATTATAACTTTTTAATTAGAACAAAAAGTACTTGTGAAAGTGAAGAACCATTTCATTTTTGAAGGTAATATTTTAATAATCACAACAACAATAGTTACAATACTCGTTAAATAATTATATAAAAATAATCTTATATTATAATATTCAGGTTGGCTGGGTTAAAAAAAAACATCAGCGTTTAAAAATAATTATACTTGTATAATGACATAAAATTATTATTATTATTATTGTTATTAAAAATAAATGTAATTAAATACAATTATTATTAGGGTACCAGTGTTGAAATAGTTAAATAAGGCTAAAGAGATTACAAATAATTTTAGGTAATTGAAATAAAGCTGAAATTAAATAAAATTAGTGCTGTCAAACGATTAATCGCGATTAATCGCATCCAAAATAAAAGTGTTTGTTTACATAATATATGTATGTGTACTGTGTATATTTATTATGTATATATAAATACACACACATGCAGGTATATATTCAAGAAAAATATGTTATATTTGTATATTAAATTTAATTATATATAAATTATATAAATATATACATGTAAATACATGTAAATATTTTCAAAATATATACTGTATGAGTGTGTATTTATATATACATAATAAATATACACAGTACACACACATATATTATGTAAACAAAAACTTTTATTTTGGATGCGATTAATCGCGATTAATCGTTTGACCGCACTAAATAAAATCCAAATATTAGATAAAAAACCATAAACCTAAAAAAGAAAATCTACACAAAAATGAGAAATGTTGATTTGTCAACTAAAAAAAGTACGTTTAACTTGAAGCACTAAAATTACTAAGAAAGAAGTAAAAACATTAACATTTACAGAAGAACATACAAAATAACTAAAACAAAATTAAAATGAAAACTGAAATATAAAAAATAGAAGCTAATTCAAAATATTACTAAATATTATAATAGTACATAAATAATATCAAAATAACACTATGCTACCCCTGTGCAGTATTGTTTAGAAAACCTTAATGTTAATCATACATTTTATTATTTGATTTCATTTTCAATGTGGAGAAAATACTATTACATAAAGTGTATGCGCATTAAGGTTACACTGTATGCAATGTAAGCAGACAATCAAACCCTTCTTTGCAGTTACTTTTATGACAATTAATCATCAAATAAAAAGGTATGCAATTTACAAGCAACCATGAGATATGGTTTTCTAAAGTCATCCTGACCTCATTGCCATCCAAGAACAGTTGGTCCTCATGAGGTTCCAGCTTGAATTTCTTTTTCACATCCTTCTTCTTCTTTGGAGATCCTGGACTGTCATCCTAAACATACAGAAACAAGAGTTTAAAAACAGAAATTATGATATGCACATATGCAAAAAATACCTCAAGTGGAACAGAATGTGTTTGTGTTTTCTCATCCTATCAGATGATCTAGTCATACATTTTTTTCCTTCTTTGTGTCCGTAGCCTCAGAGTCCTTCTTTTTGTCTTTGTCCTTTTTGCTTTTTTTCTCCTCTTCTTTGCCGCTGTCACTTTTAGCCTTATCTTTTTCTTTCTCTTTTTCCTTCTCTTTCTTTACATCTTTCTCTGGCTTCTTCTTCATCACTTTCAGGGCTCGGTGGAAAAACTGCTTCTTTAGAAGCCTGTGAATAGCAAGACATTTCAAATTAGTGGCTGATTGACATACACTAGCATTCAAAACTTTGCAGTTTACGTTTATTCAGCATGGACGCATTGATTAATCAAAATACATTTATAATGTTACAAAATATTTCAAATAAATGTTGTTCTTTCAAACTTTCTATTCATCAAAAAAATCCTGAAAAGGACCATGTGACACTGAACACTGAAGTAATGGCTCCTGAAAATTCAGTTTTACAATCACAGGAATAGATTACACTTTAAAATATAGTAAAATAGAAACCAGCGATTTTAAATTGTAATAATATTTCACAATATAAGTGCTTTTACTGCCTTGGCGACAATAAGTGAATTTCTTCAAAAGCTTTGTAGTATCAAACACCATAGAAATTCTAAACAGTTTCATGAAATGAGAGAAAAGCCTAGGTTTACCTGTTGCAGTAGTCCACCGCCGACTCTCTGGTTGTGAACAAAGCTTCCTCGCCCTTCTTTGCTTTGGCCCACTTTGAATCCAGCAGACAGTCGACTGCTTTGGAGGCTGATGAGCAGAAAACAAACATTTGGTTTGCAAAGAGAGAACATCGAGAACTCAACAAATAAATAAACGAAACCTTGATATAAACCCTATGCAGAGGAAACAGAAGAAAGCAGGGCAGGAATGAGCGCACTGACCGACAAAGTAATCCACTCGGTGTCCCATCATGTTGGTGGATTTGGTGGGGCAGTTAAAGCGCAGGTACTTGGCCACCGCCTTCTCCTCCTTGGTAGGTTCACTGACCTCCTGAAGACGAGAGATCAAAGATCATGAAGTCATGATGATAAAACTTATCTGCTGATTATTTAAGCAGATCCAGATTAATCTGCATTTAGATCACATTTATTATACTGCCAAGCAGTAGGAATGCACAATGTATATGTAGATTCAGTACAATATTGGTTATCAGACGATATTTGTGATTTCTTAATTCATGCCATTAGGTAATACTGAACTACTGCTCAAAAACTTTGGGTTAGCATTAGAAATGTATTTATTTTTTTAAAGAAATGTATTTTGTTTATTATTTCACAATATTACTATTCGTATTGTATTTTTGATCAAATAAATGCAGCCTCGGTAAACGTAAGAGACTCCTTTCAAAAACATTTACAAAATCTTACTGACTCCACTGACTTACAGACACAATTGTATCTTACATTTTACTTTAATAATTTAATAACACTGTTAAATGTCACCTTTAGCAAAATGAATGTCCATTAGTGCTGTGTTCGATACGACGATACATCGTCAGAGATTTATATATATACACACACTAACACACACACACATATATATATATAATTTGTGTGTGTATGTGTTACGATATAACTAACGAGGTCATATTCAGAAGACAATGAAACCGAAACCAAATAGCGTTGAAACAGCCCTATATGGAGGCCCTTCATAAAGCAGAAGTCAGCTGCCTGCTCTGCCAATTGTTAGGCACTATAGCAGTGGGCCCGCCACGAATTCAAATGCGGCCCACCGTGCTGAACACAATTAAAAAAAAATACTTTCAGTTTTACAATTCATTTTAGTTTTTACATTAATTTAAAAATGTACTAAATAAATATAAG